TTTTTTCTTTTTTTTTTTTTTTTTTTTTTTTTTATTGTGAAAGAAGAGTTTTGTTTTTGACCCAAAAATATATCTTTATGTGATAAAGTCAAACATATAATTGATTCCATAATTCTGATCTCTTAGTCAGAACTAACAGGAACTGAAGTCAATATACAGTATATTAACACATGCAGTGCTCATTCATGTTTGGTGGGAGGTAACAGATGGTTAAAGTAACCAGACTCTCACCCATAGATCTGGTCCCGGTGGTGTTTCAGGGAGTCAGGCACAGTGTGGCCATAGTGAGGTGGAGGAAGTGACCTCATGGCATCCCTGTAGTCTCCCACAGGCATGGCATCAGAGCCTGGGTAATGCACCAAGTCCTCATACTAGATACGGGAGAGATGTGATAAGACAAATTTAAAAAATAAGACATTGCCTGATCCAGCCTTATGTTAGTGAGATGCATTATTGCATCTTGCATTATTGACGAACTATTTTCCTGTTTGACACTGTAAAGCTGCTTTGACACAATCAGTATTGTATAAAGCGCTATATAAATAAAGGTGACTTGACTTGACTAGATGTGCTGTGTGTGGGGGGAATTTATTATGATGTATAAGTATATAAAGGATTGACAGTACATTTGAGTATGTGCGTTAACGAGGGGCTGTTTGAAGTCTCTGCTAATTGTATCTCCTCCTTAATAAACATTGGTTGCGGGGAGGCTTTGATGTGCGATTTTTCAGAGCGCCAAGCAACATTCACCCAGGGACATAAACTCCAAAGAAAAACTTTCCAGCTGATTTATAATTAACAGCCTTACATACAAATACATAAAGTCATCCAGCCTTCATTTATACTAATTAGGTGGGTTTACAGTCAGCTTTCTGATTAATGCTGTAGTCAGATAAATGATCAGAAAAACAACATAGAAGAAAAGCTTTCGGAATAATCAATAATCAGAAAAAATCTGACTGCACAACTATAAATTTAATTTGAGCCGTTCCCGATGACTGCTCACCTATTATTGAGAAGGAAGCTGTATTATTCATTACTGATAGCATTACTTAATGTAAGCCACCTCTGCGGAGTGCATTTTACAAAAAAAATTAATAAATAAAATTTAAATTTAAATTTTTGGCCTCTGTAAATAATCAGTATTTTCTGTAGCATATATAAACTCTATATTTAAAATTATTATTAGGCCTTCTATAAAGATGGACAATGTAAGAATTTAAAAATACTGTATGCAGAGTATGCAAAGAACTTCCAAAGTCTTGCATGTGATAAATTATGTCAGTAATTTAGCACTTTATAATAACTTTAAGTAAAAAATAATAACAATAATCTAAGTAATTAACAGTCATCATATAATGCTTAACAGCTCAAATACACATATGAAAATTTGTGAACCAAAGTTTGATGATTTTTCTTTCTATTGATGGAAATATAATCAAACTTTGATGAACATATTTTGATTGATAATCACATAATGATTAGTAGTGTAAATTAATTATTACAGACAAACTACAACCAATTAAAAGCAGTAGAGTATGAGTTTCAAGCAGACTAAATGTAATTAAATATAAACAGAATATATGGAATTATGTATGTCGTAGCGTTGCTTTTTCTAAATAAATGAGTAAATGAATGTGTACTTCGCAACCTTAAAGAAAATATACATAAACCCACCTATTTTGTGGGACTTACCAATATACATTTTTAGTGACGGCAATGTTTTACTTTGAATCTAACAGGCTTTTACTGGAAATACTTGGATCATTTCACACGAGGAGAAATATTGCCGTACAGATAAAAGAGCTTAGATTTGAGATTGATTAGACTGATTACAAATTAACAGGATCTTAACTACCATTTCTAAGTAGACAGAAAGTAACAATAATTTCCATTAGGCTGCTCACTGTAGCACAAAAGCTGACCTGACTTCATCTGCCTTACAAGGGCCTGTATGCTATTTTCCTACACTACTCCATCTGATGTTTGCCTTTTAATGCTTTTCTGAATAGCCTACATGTAATTCATTTGAATATGGTTAAAACTGAACAGCTGATTGTATAAGCACCTTTGTTAACTCGACTGTCTTTCAAATAAATGTAGGCCTAGATGAAAATATATAAATTAGAGTTTAATGATAGCCTACTTTTTACTATTTGAATGCACATCAACTAAAGAACATTAATTAAGCATTACTTATAATGGAATCATGTTTATTACTTAATTGGACGTTGGAACGGAAGTTATTATAGCCTAGTATCAGACAAAAATCTAACAATTACAAAATAAGATTTTTATTTTTATTATTATTATTATTCATTTTTTTTTGGATTGTAGACTACATTGTAGGCTACATCTCAATAGGTATATTTAGAAATTTGTTTTTAATATCCACATGATAGCATCCTTTGCATCAAAGTAGCAGGAAAATGGACCTGGAAAATAAAGGGAAAAACAGGACCTACCCTCTTCTCCATGCGATACGGAAGCCGAGCTCACACACTCACTGACGGATGACAACACACACCAGAGCGGCAGATAAGACACACTCTCTACAAGAACTAAAGCATAAAAAACATGAACCAAAAAAAAAACTAAGCATGCATTGTAACACAAACATGTACTGATACCATATTCATATTCTGGTCCAAAAGCATTTGGGGCATCATACAATAAATGCAAGCACATGAGAGTAGTGGATAAGATTGCTTTTCTCTTTAAAAGTATCCATCAAAATAACAGCCTATATAAGTGCTCTAGAGTGAATGAGAAATGCCTATAATAATATTACGAGTATATACATACTACATTAATAACACATTATTATATCCATGTAAATTATGGTTATGGAAATTGGGTTATATAATGGATATACTAGGATATGATGAGAAGGCGTAAGGATACCCCACCTTAATAAGAATGTAGCAGCACAAGCGCGGACCGGGCCGAGTAGGCTATCCAGTATTAGCGGCGCGTTTGGTATGTCGCGTCCTTTCCGCACTATCGATGCTCAAATGCGTCTCTCCACAATGACCGATGAAGCTTTAAACCAGAAAGAGAGAGAGAGATGGAGACTGGGAGTTGTTTAGGGGGTCAAAACACAACGGGGTCTCTCACCCCCACCTCCTTATCAAACACGCTCGCGCATTACAAACACACACACACACACACACACACACACACACACGCAGAGCCGTTTTATCTGAAGGACGCTCTCTCCACACAGAGAGAGAGAGAGAGAGAGAGAGGGAGAGAGAGAGAGAGAGACCGTGCTCACCGACTTTCATCATCGTTATTCCGGTGTAAAATCATTTTTTGTCTGGTTATAGGTAGGCTATAATGTGCAATCTGGAGCAGATCTGTTTTGAAGCATGCACTGAGTTGCACTGGTAAATTTACACACTTGCGTTATTCTCCACTGCATACGCGTCACATCATATGCTGCAAAATAGCCTACCACCAAGAAGAAGAAAAAAAGTATTTGTAGACTTATGCCGCATCTTAAATTGGATTGGATTCAAAAATATAGCAAAAAACATGTTGGACCTTTTCTCAGAACTAACTGAGAAAAGAACTAACTGTCGAGGTGATTTTATAGTGAGTCTATGAAGACCGTTACCTTTAAGATTTACATGAAATAAATAAATAAAAACTGAGGTTGAAAATAAACATTTAATTTTTAGGCTATAATTTGATTTGCATTTATATGCATTATATACAATATTTCATATCTCACTTTTTTTTTCTTTTGTAGCCTATAAAAACGCTTCAAATGAAACAAGGTGAACTGGGGGGAGGGGCTAATGGGGGTCGATATACAAAGAAAATCATTAAACAAAAGTGAGTCTATGAAGACCGTTACCTTTAAGATTTACATGAAATAAATAAATAAAAACTGAGGTTGAAAATAAACATTTAATTTTTAGGCTATAATTTGATTTGCATTTATATGCATTATATGCAATATTTCATATCTCACTTTTTTTTTCTTTTGTAGCCTATAAAAACGCTTAAAATGAAACAAGGTGAACTGGGGGGAGGGGCTAATGGGGCTCGATATACAAAGAAAATCATTAAACAAAATAATGTAAAACTGTTACAACAACCAACCCCACCCAACTGTTACAATTCACCCGGCGGTGGGATAGCAGGATGTAACAACTGCACTCTTTGCACTTGAGAGTAATTTAAAAGTTGAAGACAACTTTAACTTGTAGTATAAATGTAGGAAAATAGCAAAGTTAGAGATACATGGGGCGATTAAAACTTAAAAGGTTTTTACATTTACAGACTAGAGCAAAAAGTGTTACTGCAAATTCCAAATATCCTCTATATATTTGTACAGTTTAACACCTACAAAACTTTTTGAAAGGTTCAAGCTTGTGCTATCTTCCTTTAAAACAAATACTTTGTTTGACATGTCATCTGCAGCAATGGAATTCTTGTGTGTGTCAAAATAATTTCAGGGACAACTTTATGCTGCAGAAAGTAGCAGAGAAATAAGAAAAAAAGCAATCAAGTAGCAATCAGCTGATAACACTAACTGCCAATTGCCAATTTAACTTACTATAATAAATAACAACCACATTATTTATTGACTAACCACATTAGTCTTATCTTTGAACCATAATAGGGGAGACTGGGGCTGTTATATGGAAAAAATGGACTATACTTCCAGCAGCCACACTTAATAAAAGAATATTAAGACAAATTTGTAAATTACACAATGAAGATAGGTTGTAACTGAAAGGTTGACAACTGTTTTTCAAGACAGAGGTATTTTTTTTAGATTGGGGCAAGTTGTCACATGTGTTTTTATGTTTGTATGCAATTTTATACAATGCATTCATTACAATATCCCATTAAAACTTTTTTTTTTGGGGGGGGGGTTGTTTTGCTGCTTAAAATTGAAAAGCCATTAAATAGCCTATAAAACATTTTACATACAGTGTGTGTATGATACGTGAATTGCCTTTAAATATGTACCAAGTAGCATAACAATCAGTTAGAGCAACCTGTAACAGGAAAACAGTTCCATGGCGTCGTCTTGTGTTGTAAATCACCCTTAAATAACATAATAATAATTATTCCACACGTCCCCTGAATTCTTCTCCCGCTGAGCGAGCCCTCAACAGGCGGTCGGGACTTCAATCACCGCGGCCCTCTCCAGCGCGCTGCGGCCGGACCGACGCGCTCGGTGGGCGGTGGGCGGCGTGACATAGGCGAGGCAGAGGATCAGGCGATCTCCGGCCTTTCAACAGCATGGGAGGGCACTGGCCAGCAGCGATGATCATAGCTAAATAAAGGCATTAACAGCGGAACAACAGTGATTGTAAAGAAGCTCAGTGGAGCAACGCCCTTTGAATGCGGCCTTTAATCGGGTATTTCCACATGTAATGCGTTGTCATTTCATACGCAGACAAAATGCTCTATAACTAATGCAACATCGCTACACCTTTTTAAATAACTTAATATTTGGCAGCTATATTGTCAAATGTCTAATTAAATACTGTGTGGAATTCAAACATTGTAGGACTATACACGCGCAAACATTTTATAGCCTACTGTAAATACAGTAGCCTACATAATATGATCGGTTGACTGTTGGCATGCTTTGTGGACAGGGTGTTTCACATTAATTGTGTGTTTTTGTAGGAGTGAAATTGAGGGCAGGTTGTGTTCGGAGAATAAGCTCATTAGTGTTCTGGTGTTAGGCAGCTTAGTGTGATTTTTTGTTTAATGTGGCTGTTTGTCACTTCCTCTCAAATTGTGAATGTTTGTTCAGTGGCATTTGTCACAGTATCTGTTCTAGGTGTCTGTGCGTTTGCGTGCCATATGAGAGACATTCGGTCATGGCAAGGCATCAGGAGCCAAAAACGGTGGCACGGAGAAGTGACCGTACTATTTCAGATGCAACAAATCTCTCTCTTTCTCATTTATGCACTGTATAATAATGTTTAATATTATTCCAGAGCTTACTGATCTTATGGCCTGTCCTACATTTACAGTTTATGATGCTAAAGAACTGACTTCACAAACTCACACAATCTCGTAGGCCTGATCTTTGACATCTGGATCTATATCTGCTGTTGTGAGCATTGTGTATACCTGCATTTGTCACAGTATCTGTTCTAGGTGTCTGTGCGTTTGCGTGCCATATGAGAGACATTCGGTCATGGCAAGGCATCAGGAGCCAAAAACGGTGGCACGGAGAAGTGACCGTACTATTTCAGATGCAACAAATCTCTCTCTTTCTCATTTATGCACTATAATAATGTTTAATATTATTCCAGAGCTTACTGATCTTATGGCCTGTCCTACATTTACAGTTTATGATGCTAAAGAACTGACTTCACAAACTCACACAATCTCGTAGGCCTGATCTTTGACATCTGGATCTATATCTGCTGTTGTGAGCATTGTGTATCCCTGAGGGAGTCGTTCTCTGGTGTCCGTTCACCCCAAATCCTCAGGTCAGGATCTCGCTGTCAATTTTTGGTGCCTTTTTATGCTTCTTATTACTTGTTTATAGCCCTTATGGCACTGCTCATGTTACACAGCATGCACTTCGAAAGTTTGATTTCAGTAAAGCAATAATTTGTCCTGTAAAATGTCCTATAAACGTTTTGCAAAGTCAGACTAGCAGACCTAGATAATGAGATTGTAGCATCTAGCATGTGTACATATTAATCAAAATATAATTGGCCTTGGCATTGTGTGCACCTTCCGAAATACAGAGGTGATGTGTGACATGTATTTAATCCTTCAGATGTTATATTTTGCAGATATTAATTTATGCATTGTGTCATGTACAGAAATGATGACTGTAACCCGCCTACACAAACACACACAAAAAAGATGATATTAAATGTAAACTTACTGACTGCATCCCTAGGTTGAATCGCTTATGCTGTAGCATTCTCTTTTTAAGAAACTGGCTTTAATAGGATGACACACAACAAGTGTTAGTAGATGTTAAAATAATTTATATTTAATAATGATTGTATTACCATGGTGTTTTTGATGTGGCATTATCCAGTGACAAAACTTTTGGTATTTACCACAAAAGCCTGTTTGAATGTTATGACTGTTAACTCTAATGTCCAGTGTAACCTGACATGCAGCAGGTTAGTGCAGTGCAGCATGGAACATCAAAGACAAGTAAAACTACCTGTATATCAGTGGGACAACGACCAAAGAAGGATGTAAAAAGAGAGGCATGGCCCAGCACCCATACATTTTCTTTCACTTTTTCGATATTTCTTATTTGTGCCATATATGAGTTCACCCTCTGCCTGAACTTTGTCTGAATGCCTCTTATAGACGTTTCCAAAGTGCAACAAAGCTGAGTATTTTTTTTTTCTAAAATATTTTTAAACAGAATGAGTTTATAAAAAAATATTATTATTTATTGGTGTTTGCTAAGGCAAGCATCACTATTACTGTCATTCATACTCAGGATTTAGGCACATAGGCCTAAACATTTAAGCAGAAATCAGAATGTCACATACTGAAAAAGATTCCAAAGACATTGAAGGGAGCAGTAAAACCAAGGGATGGGCTATTTTGACTTTGGCCAGTATACTGAAAACACGGTAACCTAAAAATGGTAACATCTAAAATCACTTGTTTTATTCATGTCAAAAATTGTATTTAACATCACAGAACCAACCAATGAGTTAAATCAGGTAATAATTGCAGCTTACTACTTTTACAATGAACAACACAAGCAAAGTCCCCTAGCATCCACCCAGAAACTGTGTAGCAGCACACTCAGAACTCCTTAGCATCTGGATAGCAATTCATTGCAACCCATTTTTCACAATTTTCCTAGTTTTTAAATAGAGATTAGAAGATTCGTTTACTTGTGTAGTCTGTTCAACGGTCAATATTTTCCCTTTTCTTTCTTCTTCTGTTATATTTGTGTAGTTCTTGTTTGTTATTTCACCAGATTTAGAAGCATAGAAGCCA